AGTCCCCCCAAATTTCTTATTGTCTTAAAGTTTGCTTGTTTTACTCATGTATGTTACCTGCCTTGCCTATTTGGGCATTCGGATTTGTGACTTCAGGGCTGCTGGCGTTAGCTATAGCTAAAAGACTATATGTAGTTTTTAGAACTGAGTTTTCTTTGGTGTTAGGATGAATCAGTACAAAAGCCAGAAACACAGACAGTATACGAAGAGTAATTCAGGCAAGGGAATGCCATCTCATCCAGGAAGTGACATAAGAAAACTTGTAGCAATTTGGTTGGCATATGTGAGGTTTAGTGATGTGCTTCAGGTGAAGGAAGAGCCTGTTGTTATGGGGTCTGGTGATATATAACTGGGAAGGCTCTAGATAGGAATCATGAAACTGAAACCTAAAAATGTTCAGAGATGGAAATAAGTAATTTATGAATCTACAATATCTATTGAGTGTGCCACGTTCAAAGATCACAGTTACATATAATAAGAGTCCCTGTCAGATATAATAGGCAATTATAATACTGTGCATAATATAAGAATATCTTTAGGACTCTCCTCATCTAATCCTTCTATTTTACAATTATTAAAATAAACTTAGATTAAGCCTTGCCTGAAACTTTAGAACTAGTTGGGATTCCAGTACTCCTTTTTATCCTAATCCTATGCTCTTTCTAGCGTTAGACAGGCAGGCAGCATTGAGAATTATTACAGATAGCAAAGAGCCTAAGATCTGGGAGAACTGGTTTACTGGAGAAGGATACAAAGATTGGGACTTAGGTATAAGGGAAGGTTATGTTACCTTATGTAAGACTCTTAGAAGATTGGAGACAGAATTTGTTCTTGGGGTCTTGAAGAAGTAAGTGTCCATGTCAAAGAGGCCCATGTGGCAAGGAACTGTAGGCACCCTGTAGGACCTGAGGGTGGCTTTCATCTGAGAGCTAGCTAGCATAAAGCTGGGCCCCTCAGTTATACATTGCAAGGTGATAAATTCTGCCCTCAATCTGAAGGAGCTAGGAAGAGGACTCTTTCCCACGTTAGCCTCCTATCTGATACTGTGAATGAAGCCTTGAACAAATGACTCAGCTGAGGTATGTCCAGACTTCTGATCCATGGAAACTGTGAGCTAATAAATGTGTATTGGTATAAGCTGCTAAGTTTTAGATAATTTGTTATGCAGCAATAGAATACTAATACTTTTGGGTTCAAATATATTCTTTAGTGTCATTATATAATAAACACAGCACTTTGCTATCTAATTTGAAATACATAATCTACACTCTATTGTGCTTAAAAGCATGATAGTCACTGCAATTTGTGGTATGCTGGGCAGCAGTGTGAAGTGATGAGTGCCACATATAGTCTCTTGCAACTACTCAACTCTTTTCTTATAGCACAAGCAGCCATAACAATACAAATTAACAAGGATTCATTTTTATAAAAATGTATTTATGAACATTGAAATTTGAATTTTATATAATTTTCATGTGTCACAAAATACTGTCTGTTATTTTTTTTCCCCATCTGTACAAAAATGTAAAGACCATTCTTAGTTTACAGCCTGTACAAAATAGGCAACAAGCCAGATTTAGCCTGGAGGCTGGAGTTTGCTGACCATGCCTATCGACAAACTTGTAGGCAATTCTAATATTATTTGATAGGTGCTATCATAAAAAAACTACTAGCATTATTTGAGATTTTTAATAAGAAAATATTTTAATAAAAATCTGATTTGTTAAAAATATTTTAAAAACTAAAAATCTATTATTGCAAGTTTTTGAACCATTTCCTGAATGTGGTGAACTGGATGGAGTCAAGCAGGAAATTGCTTCATTTCTCACTAACCAGTCCAGTTGACTGCTTGAACAATGCAGGTTGGAACTTTACATGGATTTTGTTCAATTTACCCTTGTAGTTCAGTTTCTCTGCACAGGTGGAGGGCCAACTGTAGTTATACATGGATTTTTGGCACCCTCAAACCCTATGGTTGTTCAAGGGGCGGCTGTGTATACTTTGATTATTCTTATCCACTCATATAGATGATATCCTAGTCAGTTCTACCCCATTCCCTTTCTTTAATGTAACAGGACTTAAACAACTGTTTAATAGTTTTAAAATCCTGTCTTCTAATTTCACTATCAGAGCCATCTTGGAACCTGTTTTCTTTGTTTCCTGGCTGTGGGTACATTTACTGTTTATTTGCATGTCTGGCGCCTTTTAACTGTATGCTGGACATTATGAATTTAACATTGTTGAGAGTCTGGGTTTTTTGTCTTTTTAAGTATGTTGAATTATGTTCTGAATCTAATGAACTAACAAGCAAAATAGAGAGACTCATAGGTAGAGAGCAGACTGACAGCTGTCGGTGGTAGGTGGGTTAAGGGGCTGGGTTGGTGGTGAAGGGATTCAGAAAAAAGGAAAAACAAGAGAAAAAGCTTATAGGCATAGACAGCAGTGTGGTGATTATGGGGAGAGGTGGAGGAGGAGAATGAGAAAGGTATAGAGGGGGATAAATGTAATGGAAGGAGACTTCATTTAGGGGGGTGAACATACAATACAGTGTATAGATGATAGGTTGTGGAATTGTGCACTTAAAACCTGTATCATTTCGTTAACCGCAATAAATTCAATAAAAGGAAAATTTAAAAAAATATGTTGAATTATGTTCTGAATGCATTGGAGCTATCATTAATCCTGTCTAGGCTTGCATTTAGGCTTTAGTTGGACCAGTCTAGAGTAGTTCTTACTCTAGGTCAGTGATTTTCTTTTTTTTTTTAATCCTCACCCGAGGACATTTTCCCATTCTTTTTTCATATAGAGTGGGAGGGAGAGAGAGAGAGAGAGAAACATCGACGTGAAAGGGGCACATCGAGTGGCTGCCACCCGCACGACCCAACCAGGGCCGGGGACAAACTACAACCGAGGCACGTGCCCTCAGCGGGAACTGAACCTGGGTCTCTCTGGACCACAGGCTGACACTCTAACCGCTGAGCCAAACCCGCCAGGGCTAGGTCAGTGATTTTCAGCTGGTGTGCTCAAGAATTTTTAAAACATTCCTGACTGTTTAATTGGGCACTGTTTTAAAACTGAATTAAAATTATACCTATTTTTTTTGTCAGATCGGCAAAAAATCTATTTTTTGATGTGTTGCAGAATTTTAGTAATTAGTGTATGTGTGCCATTACATGTAGAAGGGTGAAATTTGCTGTCTAGGTTATGGTCTATGTGCCCTGATCAGGAATTGAACTGGTGACCTTTCAGTGCATGGGTGGTGCTTAACCAGTTGAGCCACACTGGCCAAGGTATGGTCTTTACTCTTAAGACTTGGTATTTGTGTTGTCTCAGCTGAAGTCCTATGATATTGATGAAGTTCCTCCATGACTAGATAGAAGTTTTAAGGTCTTCCAGCACTGTGCAGCCTTTAGTGTCTTTGTTCTTCATTTATTCCATTAATAGCCATTGTCTGCTAGGTGTTTCAGAATATTGCCCCTCACATGTGTAGCCTAGCCTTCTGCCCTACCATCCTCTAGCCCCCAAACTGCACAACCCTCTCTTTCAGCATTACGTCTTGTGAATTCCACTCACTTCATCGGCCCAACACTGATCTGTGATCACTGTGTGCTGCCTGAGCTACATCTCCCTGGGCTGTAGTGGGAAAATTGTCCCTAGACTAAGAGCTTGGGTGAAGGTGAGACCCACCTTCTCGGTTTCTCTTTTCTCAAAGATCATTTTCCCCTGCCTATTATCCAATGCCTGGAAGCAAGTGCTTCATATGTTTTGTCTAGTTTTATAGTTATTTACAGCAGGAGGGGAAGTTCAGTATCCAGTTACTCTGTTATGGCAGGAAACAGAATAAACTGTATATGCAAAACTCAATTCTGTTTTATATATACCAAACAGATGCTTACAGTTAATCTGCAAAATAGAGTATGGTAAATATAATACAAATATTTATAAATAGATTGGATGTTAGGATTAATTGCATATTTGGGGGGGAGTTGCTGAAAATCAGAAAATACTGTTTGTTTAAACCGTTGCTATGATTGCATTTTATAATAAAATTATTTCTGAAATAGAAATAAGAAGGACTTGATCCTAGTTTTTGTATTAATATCTGTTAAATTCAAAGCTTCTTTAATTGTAAATAATAGGAATCCACTCAAATTGTTCAAACAAAAATAGACACATCATTTAAGCTTGCAGATTTACCACAGGATTGAGGTATGTTTGATGGATGAAATTCCTAGAGAAGATGAATGGGGCAGACACCTCCAAAAGCCTTGAAGTTTTTCTTTGAGCTTTAGTGTTTTCATCAGTATATTAGAAAATTTAAAACCTACCTTTTCCCCCTCATAAGATTGATGCCTGCCAACTTTTCTTAACCTTGAAAAATTACATTTATTTTTTAAGGCCTAGTTCAAATGTTACGTAAGAATTAATTGTTCTTCTTGATAGGTAACAAGAATGATCTTTGTATTATCAGTTCTGAGTACCATTCCCATGCACAGCTGGTGGATAATAAATATTTGAATAAATGAGATCTAATGAAAGGTATATTTGAAAAAGACTTTGAAAATTAAGTGTATGAACATGTAGAAGACATTTTTAGTAAGATCTTTTACTACTTTGCAAAGTAGTCTCTTTTTCTGCTTTTAAATTGGAAATATTGACTTACTGGATTTTTTTTACTATATATTTTTGATTGAAATTATTTTAAGTTTTTAAGGTCTAGGTTAGTGAACATATATTGGCTTATGAAACACTCAGTACATTTTTGTTGCTTTTTTATTTTTAAGAAGTAACTGAATCCCTGATTTCTTTGTTTTGTTTTTGTGATCTCTCTGTATTAAAGTATAGAAATAAAGGATAATGGTTAATTTAAGAGTCTACCGTGGATTGATTTTAGTGGGCATCAGTAAATAGCAATAATCAATTGTCTGAATGTTTGTTATTAACTTCCCAAACATGTTTTTTAATTCTCTTAGTTGACCACTTTTCTTTTCTAATTTTAGGTCTCTATCAATATCAGCGCATATCACTGAAAAGAAAATTTTTGAAGATATGTTTTGCTGAAAAGACAACCAAGAAAAATTTTACGAATGGGATGAACACGCACCAGTTAATTGACTACCTACTGCAATTTGAATGTTAACATTACTCGCCTGGTACAGTTACTTAGTGATGTACCTATTCTCACAATACCCTATTCCAGTGTGCTTGTCTTGATTAAAGAATTCAAAGTGGAGTACCGCAAACTTGATATGGATAATAAAAAGAAAGACAAGGACAAATCAGATGATAGAATGGCACGACCTAGTGGTCGGTCGGGACACAATACTCGAGGAACTGGGTCTTCATCCTCTGGAGTTTTAATGGTTGGACCTAACTTTAGAGTTGGGAAAAAAATTGGATGTGGCAATTTTGGAGAATTACGATTAGGTAAGACTCTTTTGTTTATTCCTTTATGTTAGAAGCATTTTGAAAAAATGAAAGATAACTTTCTAATGAAAATGATTTAGTTATTTAATTTGTTATAGTAATTTTAAAGAATATATATGTTGGAAACTTTTTATGTACTTGAATATTAATTTGTAAGGAATTCCCTAATACATGAATATCTATTTATTTGTGATTAATTATCCAGCATATGAGAAAAAAGAAAGTGAATTATAAAGCCCCAGCAGGCTGAAACAGGTGCCAGTAAAGCCGTGGCAGTGTATTCCTTAGGAATGATATTTAGGCTTTTTTTTTTTCAGATTCGAAAACATTTAGTAACCAGTCACTTTGGGAGAATACCAAAGTATGGCTTAAAGTCAAGGTAATATACGGAAATTCCATAAAAGTCAGTAAAATTTACATTGTTGTTATTTATTCCCCTCTATACCCCAAGTATATCCAGGGTGGGGCTCCGGATGGGGGATACAAAGTACTGATTCACTATATTCTTATAATCAGGCATGTTTGAGAAACATAGGTACAATTAAACCTCCTAACTCTACATTTAAGGAAATTGAAACTCAGGGAAAATTACCTGCAAATGTCACACAGCTATTTAATGACAGACTCAGGACCAAAATCTAGGTATTTAACTCATATTAGAGACGTGGCTGTGTTTACTAAACAGAAACAAGGAAGGCAACATGGTTATATGGGAGTTAATATTGCAGTACCTTGAGGGCTCTGGTCAATGGATCACCAATAGTGGAAATTTTAGGAATAGGAAGAAAAAACCTGGCTTCACCAATGTTCTTAGATCCAACCCTATTTGTTAGAAATAAGTTCAGTTGTGTATTTATCTACTCAGCTACTTTTCCTTTTTATCTTGCAAAACACGCTAATTTGTAGTTACTCTTCCATTTTATTAGTTTTGTATAGTTAATGTACATTAAATCTTTCAATTAAGCAAGCTAGTAAAAGGTAATGACATTCTTTGTACATAGCTGTAATATGATGTGACTGGAAGACTCTCTTGCATTTTAGTAGGGCCCCAGATATTTTAAAAGGTGAATGTTTGATACTTTTTTAAGGATATTGAATTAGATATTTTGAAATTCTTAAATGATGTCAGAATTTGGAGTTAGGAAAACCAGTTTATTTTCTTTTCTAACTTTGAGCATCATAATCCATCCATTGAAAATGTATTGCATGTTTATCAGGTATGAGGCATGATTAGGCACTGATAATACACTGAAATAATATAAAAATTGTGCCTGCCATTATGGAACGCATAAGTCATTTAACCATTTGGGTCCTCAAATTCCTCAACTTTCAATTGGGATTATTCCACTTTCTAGGTTATTGTAAAGATTAAATTTAGATGATAATATGAAAGAACCAGCATTGTGTCTGCATATTTTAGGAAAGCAATGATTCTGTTCTTCTAAAAGACAATATCAAGATATTTGTTCTTTTTTAAAAATTAAAATTATGGCATGTTATGTGTGTATATTTTAAATTTATATAGCTCTGTAGTATATGTAATGTTATATTTTTGTACCATATCTGTTGTGTGTATGACCATAATACTATAGTGCTTTGGCCATTTTTATTCAAAATTAGTTTCATAGAGTTCATTTCAAAATAACTATATACACACACACACACACACACACACACACACACACACATATATATCTATATATCTGTAGTGTGTTTGTGTGTGTGTGTGTTCATATACACAAAAATATCTAGTGAACCATTTTATACAGGGCAATATGAGAAACTGTATGTACCATATACTGAAACTATATATGCTATAAACTCTTAGTTTTTTAATATTTTTATCCTCACCCGAGGACATTTTTCCATTTTTTGTTCAGATAGAGTGGGAGGGAGAGAGAGAAACAGCGACATGAAAGGGACACATCGAGTGGCTGCCACCTGCACGACCCAACCCGGGCCAGGGACAAACTGCAACCGAGGTATGCGCCCTTAGCGGAAACCGAACCCAGGTCTCTCTGGACCACAGGCTGACGCTCTAACCGCTGAGCCAAACCGGCCAGGTCTAAATACCTTTCTTTTGAAGTCTATAAATAAGCAGAAATAGGAATAAGATGATATATTCACCCACCCACCCATCCATCCATCCATCCATCCATCCATCCATCCATCCATTATCTACCTACCTATCTTTCTATTTGCCTATCTGAATCTATCTAGTCTATCTGTGGGTGTTTATTGAACATGTGTATATACTTATTTATTTATTTATTTATTTATTTTATCCTCACCTGAGGACATTTTTCCATTTTTTGTTCAGATAGAGTGGGAGGGAGAGAGAGAGAGAAACATCGACGTGAAAGAGACACATCGAGTGGTTGCCACCCGCATAACCCAACCAGGGCTGGGGATAAACTGCAACCAAGGTACGCTCCCTTACCGGGAACCGAACCTGGGTCTCTCTGAACCACAGGCCGACACTCTAACCGCTGAGCTAAACCGATTAGGGCTGCACTTTATTTAAGTATATTACCTATATCTATATATGTATCTGTGTTTTATGTATATTTATAATATACAGTTGACCCTTGAACAACCACTAAATAAAGGGACATTTTACTCCTTTTTTAAGGCCCCAAATGATGTCTCTGTACAGAAAAAGTTACTATAAGCATAATTCTTTCTATACCTGGATAAATATGCTAATATTAAGAGCTGGTTTAGATTCTTTTTTTGTTTGTTTTATCCTTACCCAAGGACATTTTTTTTTCCATTTTTTGTTCAGATAGAGTGGAAGGGGGAGAGAGAGAGAAACAGCGATGTGAAAGGGACACATCGAGTGATTGCCACCCGCACGACCTAACCAGGGCCAGGGACAAACTGCAACCGAGGTACGTGCCCTTAGCGGGAACCGAACCCGGGTCTGTCTGTACCACAGGCCGACGCTCTAACTGCTGAGCCAAACCAGCCAGGGCTGGTTTAGATTCTTTTTTTTTTTTAATCCTCACCCGAGGATATTTTTCCATTTTTTGTACAGATAGAGTGGGAGGGAGAGAGAGGAAGGGAGAGAGAGAGAGAAACATCGATGTGAAGGGACACATCGAGTAGCTGCCACCTGCACGACCAACCAGGGCCGGGGACAAACTGCAACCGAAGTACGTGCCCTTAGCGGGAACCGAACCCGGGTCTCTCCGGACCGCAGGCCGACGCTCTAACCACTGAGCCAAACTGGCCAGGGCCTGGTTTAGATTCTTAAAGTGCCATATTATTAGACACATCTCAAATGTTTGATCCTGGCACTAAAACTTTTGTGATTAGTATTGGTTAAGAAAGAATATGAGGTATACATATTATAGGTATGTGGTTTTCAATAAAGGTGCTTTTGGCATTGTGGGATGGACAGTGTTTTTTTGTTTGTTTTTTGTAGAGGACTGTTCTACACACTGCCTGATGTTCAGACTCTTGGGCGCTAATTAGGAGTTGCACTTCTGCACATAATCCCAAATACTCCAAGAAGAGACAGTATTACTAACTGTTGAAACTACTTTTAATGGGTAGTTATTAAAAACAATTAAGTTGGGCCCAGCTGGTGTGGCTCAGTGGTTGAGCATTGGCCCACGCACCAAGAGGTCGCTGGTTTGATTCCTAGTCAGGGCACATGCCCAGGTTGTGGGCCTGATCCCCCGTGGGGGGCGTGCAGGAGGCGGCCAATTGTTGTTCTCACTCATTGATGTTTCTGTCGCTCTTTCCCTTTTCCTTCCTCTCTTTCTAAAATCAATAAAGAAAAAATAAATTAAAAAAAATAAAGTTGGACATAAAAGAGCTGACCTTGAGATTTAAAAAAAACAGGTAAAGATTTAATTATTTTTTTTAATCTTCACCTGAGGACTTTTTTTTTTGCATTTATCTTCAGATAGAGCAGGAGGGAGAGAGGGAAGCAGAGAGAGAGAAACATTGATGTGAGAGAGAAACATCGACTGGTTGCCACCAACACAACCCCAACTGGGGTCAGGGACAAATTGCAACCGAGGTACATACCCTTAGTGGGAAACGAACCTGGGTCTCTCTGGACCACAGGCTGACGCTCTTAACCGCTGAGCCAAACTGGCCAGGGCAAGGTAAACATTTTAAATAATACTCTAAAGTTAATTTTAGGTAGATGTTTTTACTGTCATTTTTTATATACTTTTTTAATGTAAAATGAATTAATGTAATCTTATTTTATTTTTATCTTTATTAATGGTAAGGCTCGCATTCTGCATATTAGTAGTCGTATTTCTAGCTTAAGACAGTTAACCCAAAACCCTAGAAATGTTCTTAACATGCACTTAATGAGACCAAATATAGCTAGCTAAAATATAGGGCTATATTATATATATATATTTATTTTTGTGTGTGTATTTTTTTTTTTTTTTTTTTATTCTCACCCGAGGACATTTTTCCATTTTTTGTACAGATAGAGTGGGAGGGAAGGAGAGGAAGAGAGAGAGAGAGAGAAACATCGATGTGAAAGGGACACATCGAGTGGCTGCCACCCGCACGACCAACCAGGGCCAGGGACAAACTGCAACTGAGGTACATGCCCTTAGCAGGAACCGAACCCTGGGTCTCTCCGGACCGCAGGCCAACGCTCTAACCACTGAGCCAAACTGGCCAGGGCTGTGTGTGTATGTTTTATGTATTCTATATATGTTTTATACATTCTCTATGTGATTTAAAATGTTTAGGCATCTTGCCAAACCTTTCTGGCTGGGGAGAGATTGCTCTTCCTGGGATTAGTCAGTTCTCAGTTGGGAGCATGACTTTAATCTGCAAACTAAACAGTCCAGAGCCATACCTCCACTATCTGGAGCTTGAACACTCCAGGAAGCAACTTCTTTCTTTTTTCCTCTTTATTGATTTTAGAGAGAGAGGGAGAGAGAGAGACAGAAACATCGATGAGTGAGAACATCTGCTGGCCACCTCTTGCATGTCCCCCACTGGGGATCGGGCCCACAACCTGGGCATGTGCCCCGACCTGAATCGAACTGGCAACCTCTTGGTTCATGGGTTGATGCTCAACCATTGAGCCATACTGGCTGGGCAGCAATCTTCTTTCTTAATCATTCCATGGCCAGGTACAAGAATAACTAGAGACCACTTATATAGCTCAGAGGCCACCAGAATTATTTGCCACAAGAATTATTTAAAGTGGCCAATTCTAAACTGTTTATCCTGCCCTGCCTTGCCTTTCCCTTGGAAATTAAAGGCCTATGCCTAAACTCTCCTCTTGCTCCTGACCAAAACATGTTTCCCATGACCCTTTTGTAGAACCTGTGAGCATAATAAACTTTTTTGAGCCTCTTCTGTGTCCTCTCTTGTGGCTACACCTGACTGACCATCACATAAAAGAACACAGCACAAGGGTGTTATATATATTGTTTTATGGATTGCCATATCTGAAGTAAGATATTGCAACTTTTCACATAATTAAGTATGCCACAGGAGTTTTTATAACTTATTTTGTTTCTTTTCTTCTTTTTCCTATATAGCTCATAATTCTTCTTATTTTATTGTTCATATTTAAGAATTGTTGAAAATTCTGCATGCCTTATACTATATGTATCAAATAAATATGCAGATTTGAGTGAATTCATAATTTTTATGTTTATTGATTTTTCTATTGTTCCTAATTAAAGCATATTATAAAACTTAACTAAAAAATGTAATAATGAAGACTAGACTGTGATACTATAGCAAAGTGGTAGTAAGCAAAATAGTTTCTTTTTCTTTCACATAACACAAAGCAGAGGGAGAGCACCCAGAGCTGTTAGGGTACCTCTGTGTCCTCAGTATGTGGCTTCAGTCTCTGTGTGGAAGGTGGTTGCTCCGGTTGTTGCCACCTCCTAGCCAGCAAGAGGAATTATTCTTGGGAGTGGGGAGTGTCAGACCTCATATCTAGAACTTAATCACATGGCCACACAAGGTGAAAGAGAGGCTGAAATTGTAGTCTGTAGCTGGACAGCCATTTTAAAATGTGGGCATTATATTATTATAAAAGGGGAGCATGGTCATTGGTGGGTAACTGGTAGTTTCTGTTATAAACATATGTGTTGTTTTTGTAGAACATAGTTTTCTGTAATTTCCATCCATATACCACAAAATTGGTAAAAGCATTTTTCAAGTATAATATGGCACAGAGTTTCATTGGGAATATCTTCTAAAATTGGATTAAAACATCAGTTAGCTGGAACCAATCTACTTGGAGCCTTCTCTTCACTGGATTCCCTCAACACATACACTCCTTCATACTGTACATACAAACACATAGTTTGTGCATCATTGGTTTGTTAATGCGTATAACAAATATTGATTGAAAGCTAACTATGTGAAGCCTATGCCTATGCTATGTGACAAAAATGCATTGGTAGTATTGTTTAATCATTGTTCATGTTTATAAATACAACTTTTAAAGTTCAGAAAAGGCTGTGATGTTCAAGATGACGCTTTTAGGATTTAGTGCTTTTTGCTATGATACAAAAGCAGACATTTGACCATATAAATGCCAATAAAAACTACTTCTAGGAGTACTTGGTATTATTTTGGTTCTATGAAACCTGTATTTAATCTGACTTCTTGTGTTATGAGTATTTACCCCTTGTGTACATGTGAATAAATATCACATCAGAATAGTTATGAAAAGTTGATAATATTCTGGGCAAATACAAATTTCATCTTTGAACTCAGAATTGGTTCTTTGTTAGACACCAGTTCCTCAAGATTAAGTTACTGTACCATTAAAATATTCACTGTACACTTAATAGAGGAAGCCTAACATTTCATACATAACATAGTCTTGAAAATGTATATGAAGGCATAGCTAACTGCTCAACGAGTTGACTAAAAATATATGTTTTCTAATATTTGTTTTAAATATTTATGGGCTCCATGAGTGCCTGAATATAGCTTAGTGTTCACCACTTTTGGTACTATTGAGTTCCATCTTTTTGTTAACTGTAATGGGTTCATGAGACTTATGCTATTTAGTATTAGTATGAATTCTTTTTTTAAAAATTTTTTTCATTTATTTTAGTAAAATAAGTATAAAAATTCAGGAAAGTATTATAATGTTTGTATGAACAAACACCACTGTACAGTAGCAGGAACATAGCCGAGACTGACATTTTGTTTATAAGTTTTACTGCCATTCATCAGCTGCTTTATAGAAGGAAGTTAGGTATGTTAGGGTGGAAAATTCCCTGTGTGAAAAGTTGATGCTTTCCTATTCTGTGTTCAGCAGCCAGTGTGACCAGGGCCAGTTACTATAACAGTTATAAAAAATAATTATCTTTTAAAAATAATATGGTAAGAAAAAAACATATTTTTGTTATAAAAATAATACATGCTTATTGAAAAAATAGAAATTGCATATTCTATTTTTTATTGTTTTTACTGTACTTGTAAAGAAACATTAATTTGCCCTGGCCGGTTTGGCTCAGCGGTTAGAGCGTCGGCCTGCGGTACAGAGAGACCCGGGTTCGGTTCTCGCTAAGGGCATGTACCTCGGTTGCAGTTTGTTCCCGGCCCTGGTTGGTCGTGCGGGTGGCAGCCACTCGATGTGTCCCTTCACATCGATGTTTCTCTCTCTCTCTTCCTCTCTCTCCCTCCCGCTCTATCTGAACAAAAAGTGGAAAAATGTCCTCGGGTGAGGATAAAAAAAAAAAAAAAAAAGAAACATTAATTTATATATCAAATTGTCTTCATGTACTTATTGCTTTTAAAATTCTCCATAGCATTTTACTTGGGCTACAGATGCTTATTCATTGGACCTTTCTAGATTATTTTCAGTTTGCCATTGCAAAGATTATAGTAATTCATTTGAATTCTTTACATGCTAATGATATTAAATCTTTATTCTGGTTTTTTATTTACCTGTTCTTTGTATATGGTAGATTTTTTTTGACATTCAGAAGTTTAAACTGTTTTATGCAATCAAATCTGTATAAAATCTTCTGACGTCTTAATTTTTTCCCTTTTTTTTTTTTTTAATGCTTAGGAAAGCTTCTATATATTGGGCTAATAAACATTTTTTAAAGATAATATGCACCCTTGTGTTCATTGCAGCATTAGTTGCAGTAGCCAAGATATGGAAACAACCTCAGTGTCCATTGATAGATGAATGGAAAAAGAAGATATGGTACCTATATATTATGGGTTATTACTCAGCCATAAAAAAGAATGCCATTTGTGACAACATGGATGGACCTGGAGGGTATTATGCTAAGTAAAATAAGTCAAATTAAGACAACTACCATATGATTTCACTTACATGTGGAAACCTAAAAACAAAATAAAGAAAGAAAAGAGAAACAAACTCTTAGGTACAGAGAACAAATTGATGGTAGCCAGATTAGGGAGTTGGGGAATGGGTAAAAAAAAAGGCAAAGGGATTAAGAAGTACAAATTGGCAGTTATAAAAATAACTGGTGGATATAAAGTATAGCATAGGGAATATAATCAATAATATAATACCCATGTATGGTGTCAGATGGGTACTAGACTCATGTGGGGATCACTCCCTAAGGTATATAAATGTGTAATCACTATGTTGTACGACTGAAACTAATGTTGTATTTCAATTGTAATTGAAAAATAAATTTAAAAAATTATAAAAATATTTTTTCATGTTTTGTGCCTTATGTCTAATTCTTAAAATATTGGAATTTAATTTGGTTGTACAGTGAGGTGCCAATAATTTTTTTCCCTTCAAAGTAGCTAGTTTATCAGAGATAATTATTGAATAATACTTTAAAATTTTTATTTTTAATATATTACAGATTTTTTCTAGGTATTTATTCTGTTTAGTGGATTACATATTGAACCCCAATAAGATTACATCTCATAAACATGGATTTAAAAATAGGTGATGATTGGAGAGGAATTTTGTATTCCTTTATATAGGCATTCCGGTTTTGAAATTTAGTTTATCTTGTATCTGACTACTGATTGCTGTATGAGTTGTTTACAATATTCCAACAAAATAAGATCCTTTTCATTTTTGTAAGTGGGCTGAAGTATTTATTAGTATCACTTTCTACTCTGAATCCAGGTGAAATACTATAAATATTTCATTGAGTTGATCGGAAATTTATATTTCCTCATCATTGAGGCTTTTGCTAAATAGTTGGAAGAAACCTAGACTTCCTCTAAATGTATTATATGTTTTTTTTCCCACCCCAAAATTTGACATTTTTTCTTTCTTTTTCAAGGGAAAAATTTATACACAAATGAATATGTGGCAATTAAACTGGTAAGTTCATGTGTCTTATTTTTCCTTAATTCCTGATTTCTTTAATACTTAACTTACATTTTAATTACTATTTTATTTTCATATCATTTAGAACTTGAGTATTTATTGGGAACGTGATATGCAAAACTTATCTTTTGTTATTAATCTCCTAGCATTATCAGGCCCCTCAAATATGTGGTAGGATGTCTTTGTCTTTCCGTGACATGAAAACTCAATCCCTTTACTTTGGCAGCATTATAGAATTGAATTTTGGAATTTTGACACTATTTTTCTTTTAAGGAAGCTGGCATATTGACATTTTTATTTAGATAAAGATTCAAAAGCAAGATTTCTCTTTCTGACTCAAGCATTTGAACAAAAGTTTCCTTAATATTTAGGATTACAATCTTTGAAAGTATTTTTAGGTAGCTTCCAGAATCTTTTCTTGAATTGATATTTTATGTACGGTAAACTGTTCATTGCTTGACCTTCCCAGATTCACAAATGCTTGATGTGGGTGGAGGATGGCAAGGAAAGCAAACTCTGTTGGAACTGTTCTGAATTCCTAAATGTGCCCTGTATGACAGCTGTAAGGCATCTATCTCTTTTTTTGGAAGAGTTGGGATCTGGGAATTTTTATAAGACACAACTGTCTTTGGCACAGCTTTTCTATCTTGTTTGCCAGCCAGGTTTCCATGAGGTTAAGCATGGCTTGGTTTTTCCAGTCTGCCTGCCATTCTTAATCTTGTGCCTGCCAATATAACCACTGTATTAAGGGAATGTGAGATGATGATTAGAGGAAGAGGTAAGTGGGAGAAATAGAAAATCCTTTTTTGGGGATGAGCTAGAAAACTGTATGTACTACTTACTTTTAAGTATATTTGTGAGTATAGGTCAAGTTTTAATGCAACAAATGTTTATTTTTACTGGGAAATAAGATGTACAGTAGGGTTGTGGTGCCATCAAGACTGGCTGGCTGACATGTGGGTTTTGACTGGCATTTACCTAGAGGAATTCAATTTGATTTTAAGGCCTGGTTCTTGGCTTTATGTCAGAAAATCTGGTTAGGTCATCTTATTAAGATCATCACTGTTAATCATAATTATATTTAATCAATTCACGAAATCGGTCAAGCTCTCAGAAATATTTAGGAAGAGTTAATTTCTAATTAAATAATGAAGTATTTTATCATTATAGGTTCATAATGCCCAAAATCAGTATAAATAATATGTTTTCTTTCTATAGGGTGATCTACACAGAAAGCCAAGTTAAAATGACAAGCTTTCTTCATGAGCATGAAATCAGGACAGGAGGAGTTAGTTTGGATGAATCACAATGGGGAGGCTCAGGATGCAGGGACTGGACAGTGTTTGAATGGGCATTGCTGACTTTTGTTTCTTTGGGATTCTTCCTTTTTCTGTGTTCTGTGCGAGTGGTCTAGGATCTAGTCATTGTATGGTGTTGGGAGTAGGGGTAGCGCGCGAGACTAGAAGTGCTAATAGCCATATATGCCATGTTATTGATGCAGCAGCCTGTAGTGATCAGGTCTTAACAGTATGTTAAGACAAATAAACCATTGTGTCAAAACAGGAACCACTGCACCAGGCTGCCCTTTCCTTGTATGTTTCAGTTATAAAGTGGTGTTCCTTAGGTCCTGTTATTTTCAGATTTGGAACTTTTTTACCCTGTGATCAGAGTACAGCGCATACTAATTGTGGTTATTCTGTGTTCTTTGGGGGAACTGGGAATATTTTTGTATATGTTTAGTATCTTGAGGTTGAAGTATAGTATAGAATCATGCTTGCCTCAAATTCATCCAAAAGTATATTAGCAGGACTGAAAACTTTTCACATAAACTATTGGATCAAAGTTTGGTATTTAGTTTACTAAATACATGTAAAACATATACTGTATAATGTCATTTATATGACATACAACAACAGACAAAACTAACCCAAAGGTGCCAGAAATCAAAAAGTGATTAGTTCTGAGGGAAGGATGATAAAAATGTTTTAAGAGTTTTTTGAAGTGATAATTGCTGGGGAATATACAGTTAACAAAGCTCATGGAGTTAATGCTTATGTACTGTGTGTTTTATTGTAAGCTATACCCCAACTAAAAATTTTAAAAAATATATTGTTATTGTCAAAATTTTTATCTTTATATTTGTTCTTTCTTTTCTATGACTTCACTTAACCTGGAACTTTTAGATAAGAAATATACAGTTCAACCCTGGCCAGAGTGGCTCAGCGGTTCGGCCCACGGACCAGACAGTCGCGGGTTCGATTCCCGGTCTAGGGCATGTACCTACCTCAGTTGTGGGTTTGTTCCCTGGCTCCAGTCAGGGTCGTACGGAAGGCAACAAATCGATGTGTACTCACATTGATGTTTCTTTCTCTCTCTCAATTCCTCCCTCCCACTCTATCTTTAAAATAAAAAAATAAAAAAAAATCCATGGAAAAATACCCTTGGGTGAGGATTTAAAAAATAAAATAAAATAAAATAAAGAAATATATAGTTCAGAGGTGAATTCCTGGGAACAAGAGAAACAGAGTAAGAGTCACCATTCCCCTAGTAATGAATGTTTGCAATATACTTTTCTTCAGGGTCAAAGAGTCGAACATAAATTTCCCTTATGCTCGACCTAATAGCCACTTAACCTTATATACATTTTTGATATTAATTTATTTTACATTGAAATAAACATTCATTTGACCTAACTTTAGAGAGACAAAGATGCCTAATAAAATATTACTTTATATAAGAGTTGACACCAAGATTTATAATATTTGGAACTGGGGCCTAATGATCTTTTAATAACTTGTTGTTGTTTGTTTTTAATTAGGAACCCATGAAATCCAGAGCACCACAGCTACATTTGGAATATAGATTCTACAAGCAGTTAGGATCTGGAGGTAAAGTCTTACATTAATTTTTAAATGTGTGATAAAATGGATTGTCATATTAACCCTTTGGTTTCAAAGAATAGCATTTAAATCTAGTTAAAGTGAATCACTTCTTAATGCTGTACTTACTAGACATTATCTTACTAGAGTCTTCATGTTCCCTTTTTTATATTAAATAGGACATTTTTTGAGCTTTTTGTATTGGTACTAATATGAGTAGAGAAAGTTGTGAAAAATTTTAATTTGGAAATATAAGATTCATATAGTGTCCGTATTTTTAGATTTTTTAGTAATATGTAGTTATTGAAATGACTTGTGACATTGTCGATGTGCTGAAAAATGGCCCCATGAAAGATATATCATAATTCCTGCAACCTATAAATGGAGCAAAGACTTCGTAGGTATTAAATTAAGGATCTTGAGATGGGGAGATTATTCTGGATTATCTAGGTGGCCCCTAAATCATAAATGTCCTTGCAAAAGAGAGACAGAGGGACATTTTATATGCACAGAAGAGGAGAAGGCAAAGTGGCGATAGAGGCAGAAACTGGAGTGATACAGCCATAAGCCAAAGAATGCTGGCAGCCACTATGGGAAGCTTCTAGAGTCTCTATTGGAAACCCCAGAAGAAGTGTATGACCCTGTCCACACCTTGATTCAACCTAATGAAACTGATGTCAGATTTCTGGCCTCCAGAACTGTGAGAAAATACATTTTTGTTTGTTTGGTTTTTGAGCCACAACTGTGTGGTAATTACAGTGCTGTAGGAAACTAATAAAGGAATATTTTTGTATAAACTCTAAATCTAAGTGAGAATGGATGTGCCATTGGAAAAAATTAATGAGAAAATTTCCTATTATATGTTGTATTCCTTTATGTTAAAAGTTTTCACAGTACTACTTTTTCTGTTTACTCTTATTCTAACTGTAATGACTTTATATGTACAGTTTCATACTAGGTAGGGATATTTTGTTTCTCGAGATTTAATAAAATGGAATTTTTTTCATGTGTCTTTTTGTAAGTTCATGTTTACATTCTAGTTGGTAGAGCTGTCCATTTCTTAATACATTGTCAATTTTGCATTTTTTTTTTTTTCTACGAGCATACTTTCCAAATGAGTAGTAGTCAGTGTGGGGCCAGTAAGTCAACATTTTGTGTATCAATGTTTTTGTTATTATAAGCTTCTTATAATGCAGACAGGCCTCTAGGAGTTGTCAAAATTATCACTGGCAACAGAGATATAAAGGATGGGAGCATAAAACTAATTATTTGTGAAACCATACATATTAGGACTAACAAGTGACAGAAAGCCATAAAAACCTAAGTGAAAAAAAAAAAGTTTATTGCCTCATGTACTAGAAATTTAGGGAAAGGAACTTTCTATAAGACATTGTTGTATGCAGGACTTCAAATGCTGTCATCTGGAAAGTTAAATTTGTCTCTGTTCTACTGTTTTTTATTTATATTTCTTTGTGCATGTATGTGTATGTAAGCTTCTGACTAGCCCATCCTATGACATGGCAGATAGTTACTAATAGTTTAACAATTATAAAAACACACCTCTTTACTAAAAAAATCCAACAGAAGTTCAAGGACTGAATCTTACTGTCTTATTTTGTGTCTAATGCCTTTCCTTGATCTAATCATTATGAATTTGATTGCCCAGATTTAGATTCTGCACTTATTGCAAAGCTACCTGAAACTCAGGGATTATAAATAGTGAGAGGAAGTTGCCTAAAGGGAAATTGAGGTGTTATCAGAAGAAGGAAGATTGGATGCTGGGAGATAAAGACAACTGCTCTATCTGCTTAAGTAGTAAATCTATCATTTAGAAACATAAGACTGAATACTTTAATTGGATAAGAAGGAATAAATCAGTTTAGAATTTAAGGAGTCATTGAATTGAATTCCAAAGGTGCACTTACTTTTATTACCATATTCTTTGCCTTTTTAAAAAAATCTTCACCTGAGGATATTTTTTCCATTTATCTTTAGATAGAGTGGAAGGGAGGGAGGGAGAAAGAAAGAGAGGGAGAAAAACATCATATGAGAGAGTCACATCCACTGGTTGCCTTCCATATGACCTTGACCAGGGCCGGGGACTAATTGCAACCGAGATACATGCCCTTGGTCGGAATCGAACCCGCAACTCCTTGGTCTGTGGGCCGATGCTCTAACTGCTGAGCAAAACCCACCAGGGCTCTTTGCCTTTTTAAACTTTAAAATGTAAACATCTTTCACTACTTGAATGCCATAAGGTTGCAGTGTTGCACAACTCAGGGACCACTATTTACAGGGTAGTCTTTATATACAAGGGTGCTCCCCTGTGTTCTATGGCATAGCGTTTACACAGATTGAAATGTGAATGGCATTGCCTGAAGGTATGCATTGTGGTGATTCTGAAACACTAACAAGAGTGGATGTTTTTGAGTATTTCATATGAATTATGAATTTTGGAAACTTGTTAGTATTATCAATAATGAATTTTTAAAACATTTTGGAGTACACATGTGAACTTTGTGAAAAAGCAAGAGTTTAATTGAGGAAAGACTGTTGACTTTAAAATAATTTGATTTTAAATTTTTCTATAATTTATTTTCAGACTGCTCTTAATCATAAAGGGGCCATTCAGGATAATTTTACCTGTAATTCTATTATTGTATTTTAAGTATCATTTAAGTAGTAACTTGCTTGTTAGTGTTCTCTTTGAAAATAGATATATGTAATCAACATGCAGACTACATAAAGAATTCCTAAAACTCCACAGCAAAAATATAAATAATCCAATTAAAATGGGCATAGGACTTCAATAGACATTTCTCCAAAGAAGATAGACAAATGGTCAATAAGTACATGAAAAGATACTCAATATCACTAATCATTAGGGAAATGTAAATCAAAACCACAAAAACATACCACTTCACAATAATTAAAATAATTATTATCAAACAAATGAAAAAAAGGCAGAAACCAGTTAACAGATATTGGTGTGAATGTGCAAAAATTGGAATCTTTGTGGATTGCTGTTGGGAACGTAAAATGGTGCAGCTGCTATGGAAAACAGTGTAACTGTTCCTCAAAAATTTAAACATAGAATTATTATTTGATCCAGCAATTTCACTTCTGGTCATACACACAAAAGAATTGAAAGCAGAGACTCAGGCAGATATTTGTACATCCATGTTCATAGCTGCATTGTTTGCAATGACCAAAAAGGTCAAAACAAACCAAGTGTCCATTGATGGATGAATGGATAAACAAAATGTGGTATATATACAATGGGATATTATTCAGCCTTAAAAAGGAAGGAAATTCTGATTCATAGTAAGGTAGAGATGAACCTCGAAGACAGTATGCTAAACGAAATAAGCTAATCACAAAAGGACAAATACTCTGTGATTCTACTTATTTCAGGTATCCAAAACAGTCAATAGTCAGATTTATATAGATAGAAAGCAGGATGGTGTTGGCCAGGAATTGAGGGTCGAGGTGAATGGGAAAATTGCTTAATGGGATGGATAGTGGTGATGGTTGCACAAAAATCTGAATATACCTAATGCCACTGAACTGTACACTTAAAAATGGTTAAAATGATAATTTTATATAATGTATATTTTACCACAATGAAAACATAAATAAAAAATAGATTTACTTTCAATTATTTAATGAGATATTTTTGGAAAAATATACAATTTATTTAGTACTACCTGTGTGGTTTTTGATCCTCTTATTATAAGTCCACATGTCTCTTTTTATCTTCCATGACAGTATCCCTCTTTTATCTCTTATTTTGTTCACTGAAACTATTATATACATACAGTAGGATTGTACAGCTTTACTGCAGTGTGAATATGAGGGTCTGGCTCTTTATATTATTTAGCTTTTCATTGGATTGGAATATTGTTTTATACCATTATCACTTTTTGTGATAGCAAAAATGTAATGGATTGAATAGTGTTGTCTTTTCACATTCACTCAGCATTTATTGAGTAAACAGAGGATCTAGATTTGGGAGTCATCAATGCATAGGTGGTTTTTCAAGGTTAGGGAATGGATAAGATCTAGGGGAAATAAACAGAATGAGAAGAGAGGAGGAACAGGCAGAACTATACTGACCACTGCATTCGGTAGGAATGAATTTGACTGTCAGTAACAAAAATCATGCCAGCAGTAGCTTAAACAAATACAGGGATGTTATGTGAGAAAAATAAGCAAGGAGTTCCGAGATGGACACTGTAAGGTTGAGATAGCTACTCAAAAGTAAGGAATCAGGCTCTCTCTGACTTCCTGCTCCTATTTTAAGTATGTGGCTTTTATCTTTATGATCCTGGATATTTTGTACCAGGAGGGAGGGAATAAAGGATGAAATTACTATCTATATAAATAACTTCCAATTCTTTATCTCCTGTTTCCATTCCTGAAATTTAGTTATACATGTATGTCCCTACTGTAATCAGAAATTCTAATATACCTAGAATTATGCTCCCTACCTTCTTTTCTACTTACATTTCCAATGAATTTTTTTGTCTCTTTCACAAGACCTGTTTTCTCTTCTGGATTATCTTGTTCCATTACTGGCATATTCATTAAAGCTGAAAATTTTAGTCACCTTTGATTTTGGCCTTTTGGGGTAATCAGAAGATTCTGTCACTTATGTCTCTTCTCTGTGTCCTTGTCACTTTTCTTTGAATTGGGTCTCCTTTTTACCTTCAGTTCCTCATAGAAGGTTATCATTTAGCATAAAGTCCAAATTTCTTACACTTTCTACTGGCTCACTTTTTAATTGCACTAAACTTACTATTCCTTTAATAGATCTTACTGTTTTCATATATCTGTATTCTTTTTTCTGGAATGTCTTTCTTTCTCAATGAGTTCTTTCTTTCTTCAGGCCCCAGCTAAATGTCACCTCTTTTGCAGTGCATTTCCTGACATCTGTTTGTTTCTCTCCAGCAAAGCTTCTTCTTTGACCTGAAATTATTTTGAATGTATATTTTTCTTTTATCATACCA